CAGTAAACGCCATCTGTAGCACGATGCTACATTTTAGGATTACGTATGCTCCAACAAGGTCCACTTGTGTGGATATCTACTTGCTGAAAACGAATCCTGGCGTAGTCAACCTCAGCGTGATAGGCACGTTAGCTTAATCGAATAAAATAATTCGAAGTGGCCTGTATAACTGCCAGACGCGAATCGCGATTTCGATCTTTTTGGATCTCATCAGCGCGTCGCAGACAGCTCCGACAGAACACAGACCAACTTTTACCTGCTGTCTTAACTATTACTACTACTACTAATAGAAAGAAATTGTTTGCGGCTAATCCTGTAGGAACATCACCGAATAATATAAAACGTGTAATATTCTTTGATGTTAAATAGTTAAGGACCTTTCGGCTGGTTACTTTTCGGAACAATAGGGATGCGCGGTAGGGATTTGGGTCATTTATCCCGCCGTTGGCCTGCCAGACGTCAATTTGCTTTCGGTTCTGACATTTAGAGAAACGCTCTACGCAAAACGTTCTTCGTCAGAACAATTAATTTCAAAGGGTAGTGAGGTGTTGTCGTTTTAATGAAATGCCAACCGGGTTTTGCGGCCCCCGTACGCCGCAGAGGGACCAACATACCCAATAGTCGGACACAGGCAGGAGAAGGGTCATGAACCTTTGTGTTGTAAAAGTGTGTGTGTGTGTGGACTTTGGGGTTTCCCTTGTACTCATTTTGTTAGTTGACAATTAGAAATTCGGATGAGCTATGCAGGGAAAGCTTCCCTTCGACTGCTAGCTGTCTAAAATTGGCTTGTTTCAAGCAGCTAGCTGAGTCCAGTATAAAAGTTTCAAATGGATTTGTCGTGTCTCCTTCCTTGTGATAAGAATTTCTAATGTGACCCACTCAACCGATAAATGTTTCAGAAATACTTTTTGATTTCATTCCTTAGATTTTATGAATCGTGCATAACAAGAGTTCTTGTTAAAATAAACAATAATGATCAACAGCTCTGTTTGAATTCAAGTTTATAAAAGGAAGAAAGAGGAAGATGAAGCAGATTTGAGATTATCATATTTATTTGAATTCAAAATTTCGGGTTTAAGATTGGCAGGCTGTTGAAGTATCCATGTCTTTGAACAAATATAATTGAGTTAAAAATACATCTTTAAATCGCTGGGTTTATGAGCTCTAACTTGGTTCAAATTCAAAAGGTAAAAGAACTTGACAATCGCTTGGAATCTACTCTAGTTTTTATAACTATTGTCGAAATCAGTAGTAGTTATCAATGACTCTGTTTATTCTTCCAAAGCAAAAGGAAAGGAAAATGAAGAAGATGTGGCAGAACTTTTTCTGGTTTCGTCACTTCAATCCAAACCTCTGAGTTTGACATTGGTAATCTCGTAATGGTGTGGTAAGTTATTACACTATACATTTGGAAACTTGAATGTAATTGGATCCATCCTCAAGTTACCATTTTCTTTAACAGTAAGAATCGCTAGGTTTATGGGTTGAAACCTGGCATAATTCTTGATTCAATTCAAAAGAAAAAGGAACTTCACTGTGGTTTTTAATTTAGTTTCCCTTCTTTTCATTTCATAAACCATTTATTGAATGAATTATCCTTAACAGTAAGAATCGCTAGGTTTATGGGTTCAAACCTGACATAATTCTTGATTCAATTCAAAAGGAAAAGGAAGTTCACTGTAGTTTTTAATTTAGTTTTCCTTCTTTTCATTTCATAAACCATTTATTGAATGAATTATTATAAAATGAAAAAACCAAACGTTCTGTTTGGAGCCAATTTTTTAACAGGTTTGACTTAATGGGTTTTAATAATCTTGACAAAAAGTACAAACGTTGGAGTTTCGAATATTTCTTAAACTTTACATTAGAAAATTTCAAAAGGAGTCGATCTAAATGACAGATAATTAGTCGCTTTTATCAAAAGTTCATTTATGTAAGCGAGAATCTCTGTGTAGAACAACAGTTTTTAGACATAACCGAAGAGATGGAAGGAAAATGTATAACATGGTCTTTGGTTTTGCAATAGAGCTCGCTTTTCCGTCTACATTTTCACTCGAAAACCATTCCCTGAAAGTTGTGTGTTTCCAAGCCATTCACAAACCATTCTGTATACCCATCAAAGGCTTCCCATTTATGCTGAGCTATCCGCTTTAGGTTGGAGTGCTTCTCCAGAAGCTTAATGAAGGATAATATGATAGGAGTGTCGAGGTACTTTTCCCGTAATTTCTAATTCATTAATTGCAAAAGATCCGCAGTGGAACAGAAAGGAGATGGAGAAAGAGAGAGAGAGAGAGCAAGAGGGAGAGAGAAAGAGACGTGAACCAGCTACGTATCGCTTTTGGATTAATTCCCTGAAAACCACAGTTGAATAGCTGAGCTCGGCAGTAAGGGGCTGCTGTGGTAACCGACGCTGTCGTCGACGACATGACGTCCTTCGTCGTCTTTCTCGCCATTTAAACGATGCCATTTAATCAAAATTGGAACTTTACTTGCCATTTATGCATAAGTACCAATTTTGCGCTTGTTAGGCGTTTTTGGACATTAACGGAGAATAGAAGTTTTGTTCTCACAAATTTCACTCAACTTGTAGTTATGGAACAGGATCCAGTACGAAGTGAATTTGATTTGACAACAATTTTTTTAAAAATAGATAAATGAAATTATCTGAATTTGTTTATGGGCAATTCTGGGGTTACTCTTCTTATGAACGAAATATAGTTTATTCCAGAAGGGGATGATTAAGAAGATGGATATTTCTTCCCTTATATTAAATGAGGCCTTGTAAAGCCTTGTAGGGGTGCTAAGGCTTCATCTTCATTATAAGGACATCAGTCTTAAGACTGGTTCGACAGGCATCTCCACTCTTTCCTACCATAAGCTAACCTTCGAATTTCCCTGAGACTAGAACATCCCACATCCTTAACTGTTTGTGAACAGTAATCTAATCTAGGTCTACCTCTTTTCCTCTTAACTCCTGTTTCTGTCTCTAACATGTCCTACCAACCTATCTCATCCATTTTTTTTTGACTTCCATAGAGTCCTCTCTTCTACTATTCTTTCAAATATCTCTTCATTTCTAACTTTCTCTATCCACGGTATCCTCATCATTCACTGGTAACACCACATTTCGAACGCTCCAAACACACCTTTAATAATATTTTGGAATTTCTAAATTAACCGCTCGCGAGCATAGAAGTGACTTCGTTTTGTTGAAGCCAACTCGACCCTGCAATATCCTTTGCTTTATATTTTTACTGCTCCTTCTATCCTGATTTATCTGACTTCCTACATGTTAAAAATTAGCCACTTCTTCTAATCTTTCGTCTCCTATCTTTATATTCGCTCTACTTTTTGTTTCCTTGCATACCAGTATTTGTTTCTACTTTTACTTATTTTCATACAATACTGTTTTGTCAATACCGCTTCCATTTGATTTAAAGCTATCTCTAACTCCTCCTTGCTAGATACTAATACTGTTACATCATCTACAAATCTAAGCATACCAATCTTTTACCCCCCTATATCAATCCCTACAGTTGTCCTGTCTTTAACGTTGATAATCGCGTAAATAATAAATAAATAAATAAATATAGGACATAAAATTGATCCAATTTGTTTGGGAACATCTTGGAGTTTACTCGTTCAAGGGGATGCCCTTTTGTTTGGTATATCGTCAAGACAGATGAAGATTGCCTTCTATTGATTTTATTTAAGGGAATATTAATGATAAAATTAATGACTTTTTTCACAAGGGAGTGGTAAAGATGGTGGAGTCTTTTCCTTCTTATATTGATCAAACATTTTTTAAATCTTATTTTAAACAATTTTTTCCTTAAATATGGAGTTTATTAATCAGTAGTTGTAATAAACGTTTCATATGTAGGTATACTTAGAGCTTGGAAGAAGTTTTATTAAAGGTTTTTATTTTTCCTCTTATTAAGTATTTCTTGTAACAAACCAATAGACTTATAAGTAAGTATTAGATGAGAAGTTAGTATTATATCCTTGAAACTTTCATAATTTCCTTATTGAGCTACTACAGACTTCCTTGTTACCTTGTTAAGTAGCAATTTAAACTGAAGATGTAATAATATATGTTCTTTATCATGATGTTATTTCTGAGTGTGTATTAGTGGCACATGTAAGAATTTTATCAAAAATGTCATCAAATCAGAATGGAAATGGTTAAAGAAAAATACATTTATATTATATTTTAATTATACATTAGAGGGCTACACAAAAGAATGTATTTTGTGGCTTACCTAGATTTTGTACTTCACATGGAAGAAGCACTATATCACCCTGGACAACCCGGAAGGTGTTCTCTTTTGACAGAAACCGTGGTTGAAGTGTCAAATGATCTAGTCCAAAGGAAGAACCTAAAATCAAAGGAAAATTACGTTAAATCAGAAAACATTTGACGTATGAATCTTTCTGTAAAAAGACTAATTAAAGACATATTATTAGAAGTAGAAACAGGTGTTAAGTGACTTCTGTTTGATTGTATGTAGATTACTCAGGAGGAGATGGAGGTGCGTGTCCAATTAGTATTCGGGCTAAAGGTCTTATAATGATGATGATAATTTAAACTGAGGCATTACTGCTCCGAATGTGCCAGCAGGGCTCTTAATTGGTTCTAATACAGGAGGTCGGGATGCCTCAGACGTCAGGTATCTTTCCTGTCTGTTCGGCCAACATGAGGTTGGACTTGTAGGGGTAGTGGTCAACTACACATGATAGGGTGGAGATGACACAGTAGTATCTTCCGCTATTGTGTATTCTGCTCGGGTACCAAACCTTCTAAGCCTGGTGGGGATTAGGAGGTCGGGGAGCCCCAGGCATCAGGGATCTTTCCTGTCTGTTCGGCCGACATGAGGTTGGACTTGTCAGGGTAGTGGCCAACCACACATGATAGGGTAGAGATGGCACAGTAGTACCTTCCGAGATTGTGCATTCTGCTCGGGTACCAAACCTTCTAGACCTGGTAGGGATTAGNAGCCTTGCTATATAAGCTCTCAAAGCATATAAAAATTATACGGCTTAAATGTGAAGTTGGGTGCAAAAGAATACAATTAAATCCTATGTCTGGAAAAAAACGAAATGACTTTCCGAACAGCCATATTTTCTCAGTAAAGTGTTTGATATGCTATGACATTGGATGGAAGACTCCCCATTGTACTTTTGTCCATTTATTCAAGTGCTTTGGTCATTTCACTGTGAACGACAATTACGTCTACTAATTAAGTGCTGTTTAAATATTCAATTTAAACCATTTATGTATGAATTGAATCGATTTTTGCAATCTCTCGCTTACCGTTCCCGTTGTTCCTCCATCGGACTATTTCCATTAGACAATTCCAGTTTAATTAACGTTAACAAACGGCCAGTTGTTGTATTAAATATAAATAATCCCAAATCCCAGATATCAGGGGGCTATTGATTATGCTCCGCTTTTCGGTGGTTTCGGCAACATCGCGTTTGGTAAACAATTGGATCTGTTTGTCTAGGTTTGTACCGCAGCATGTGAGAAGGGGGACAGGACAGAGGAATTGAACCGTTAATGGGATGCCGCATTTTGTTTACATGACGAACGGGTAAACATTTCGGATATGTTTAATTATTACCCACTGCTGAATCGCAGATATACAGTAACGTCTGATTTAATCAGCTTGGACAACGATGGACTGTTTAGAAGCATTAGAGAAACGTTTCAAACAGGTACCAATGCTGGTACAAACTGTAGAGTAGGGAGGAAGATCTTCTTTAGCCTCCTTTTAGGAATTGTAGAAATTTATGGGTGGTAATTGGGGAGAGGCAGAAGTCTGTTCTCCAGAATGCTAAGTTGTGATAGAGATCAGAGCCGGCCAAACTTTGACTTTTTAGGAGCGACCACATGGTATGCAACATAGAGAGATGTAGAAACGAGTGATACCTGTCTCTCTTCTTCCGTAATCAAGCCCCTCTCCATAATCAAGCCTTCTGGTTATGATTATAGAGAAAGAGAGGACAGGAGGCGACAGTATATCTATTTCTTTATGGCCGCAAGGAAAAAGGACCATAACAGTCGATTTGCACACCTCTGTCTTCATTTGCTTTTGCAGAAGCACCTAGGAGAGTTAAGAGTTTGGCTGACCTGATCCAGTTTCAAACAGGTACCAATGCTGGTACAAACTGTAGAGTAGGAAGAAAGATCTTCTGCAGGCGCCTTTTAGGAATTTACGGGTGGTAATTGGGAAGATGAAGAAGTCTGTTCTCCAGAATGCTAAGGTGTGATCCAGATAAGAGCCGGCCAAACTTTGACTTCTTGGGAGCGACTACATTGTATGCAACAGAGACAGATTTATAAATGTCTCTGTCTCTGTTCTTTTGTAACCAAGCCCCCTGCATAACCAAGCCTTCTGGTTATGATTATGAAGAAAAAGAAGACAAGAGGTGACACTATATCTGTCTCTTTTGGGCCGCAAGGAAAAAGGACCATAACAGTCGATTTGCACACCTCTCCCATCATTTGCTTTTGCAGGAGCACCTAGGAGCGTTAAGAGCGAAGTTTGGCTGACCCTGATCCAGTTCGTAGTACCACGGCGCCCAGCCAAAATACCAACCGATTGAAGTTGCTGTAGGTAATAAACTTTTGGGTGCTTAGTTCCTATCACTAAGATTTTATCTGTGGAATATTACTACCCTAGCAATTGCCTAAGTCCTAAGCGATTCAAGGAAATCGTAGAAAAACTTGGACTAGAGCAGATGCACTTGGAATCGAACCGGTTTCCTCCAGCATGCTGAGCAATGGTCTAAGCGTGCGGACCATATCGCTTGGTAGTTATTGTAATTACAGCGAGTTTTAAAAATAACTACGGACAGCGCATTTCACGCCATCTCTAGAGATTTGCCAGTAGGTAATTGTTCTAATTTGATATGCGTGCCGTGGGTTTAGCTTAACAAAATGACATCCTTAATTAAGAAGGGCTTTATTTTGTATGCTTTAATAAATTCGACTTGTGTAGTAGATACAATTTTTTTCTGAAAAACCCATCATCATCATCAAAATCACCATAAGGTCGTCAGTACTAAGACTAGTTGGACAAGCACCTCCACTCCTTCCTATCCTGAGCTAATCTTGATATTTCCCTAATACTAGAACATCCCACTTTCTTAATTATTTGCAAACAGTTATCTAATCTAGGTCTACTTCCACTCCTCTTAACTGCTTTTGCTAACTCTAATATATCATTGACTAGACTTTGATGCCTACCAACTTATTTCGCCTATTTTTTATTGACTTCTATAGTGTCCTCTGTTCTCCTATTCCTTTGAATACCTCTTCATTCCTAACCTTCTCTGTCCACGGTATCCTCATCATTCACCTGTAACACCACTATTTTCTACTTTATATCCCTACTACTCCTTCCGTCCTGACTTATCTAACTTTTTAGATACTTAAAATCACTTTTCGTTACCTATCTTGATATTCGCTGTTTTTCTCCCCTTGTATACCAGTATTTTTGTTTTACTTTTATTTATTTCCATACAATACTGTTTTATCAATACCGCTTCCACTTTATTTAAAGCTATATCTAACTCCTGCTTGCTAAATGTTCATACTTCTACATCATCTGCAAATCTAAACATACTAATCTTTTGCCCCTGTATATCTATCCCTACAGTTGTACTGTCTTTAATGATGTTTCCGAAGAACTAATAACGTAATATTGGATTGTGAAATAAAGAAAATTCGTCGGGAGGATTTTGAGAAAAATTGCTAGGCTCAGTTTTCTATCTCATCATCTCAAGATGTACCTACCTACACGAAAATATAAAGGGAGTTTCATCAAACATTTCCCGGTCGTGTAATCCCCAATCGAACCGATGTTAGAAGACAGCGCATCTAGCAAATACTCTTGGACAGCTTATCCCTTAGGATCGGTTTTCCGGTCTTTATTTCAGCTAAATCGACTACTAAAGACAAGTGACTGGCACAGTTCATCCCCACTGAGCTCCTGTCGGCGAATGGACATTTCTTAATACGAAGAATGCTTATACCATTCTCCAAGCAGTAATCAACAAAATTGACGCATGTTGGGGCATAATTTTGGCGCTTATTTCGTTTATATTTTGATCACCCTGTATAATGCAAGGTTCGATAACTGTTAAACGTATAGATTCGATTTTCGCAGAAAATCGGGATTTGAGAATGTAAATTGCCTCGCAGGTAATGTAATAGGATTTTGCGTGAAGAAAAAAAGGGATCTCAAGCAGTTTTGTATTCTATCTCTCTATCAGTTCGTCGTGGAGTTTATCCGCTCGTTATAGAGAGAAATTTGTAAGATTCAGTTGTACGTTACTGGTGGTTGATGGTTAGAGAGAAAAAAAGGGAAAGTAGAAAGATGAGCTCTCGCAGTTGGTGAATAAAAATAGAAGGATTACAAGACGATATCGGAAAAAGATTGCGAAAAACAAACTTCAAGGGGATGGGACAAACAGGAGGACGTAAGCGAAATATCATTCGTAAATTGTCACGAATAAAATTACATACGTGGGTATGTATATTGGGTGTCCTAGAAAATTTGTCATATAAAAACAGGATAAAAGTGTATGTTTGGAGCGCGGCGTTATACGGGTGCGAAACATGGATAGTGCTCGCGGCGAAAAAGAAAAGGTTAGAAGCGTTCGAAATGTGGTGTTATAGGCGGATGATGAGGATAACGTGGATAGAGAAGGTTAGAAATGAATATGTATTGGAAAGAATAAGAGAACAGAAGACTACATGGAAGTCAATAAAAAATAGGCGAGATAGGTTGGTAGGACACCTTCTCAGGCATGAAGGTCTAGTCAGAGACATATTAGAGGCAGAAACAGGAGTTAGGAGGGGTAGAGGT